GGGTGTTAACAGAAGAGGAACAGCATATAGTTGTCAAAAGCCTAGAGGGCCCTCTCATGGCTGTTTACTCTTTGGTTCATGTCAGTATGAATTAGTGGTGTAACGGTACATGTGGGTGTATTGAACCGTTTCGGTACAGCATGTTCGGTTCGGTCCACGTGCGTACCGTTTCAGTTATTTTTTCACTCATTAAATTTTATTAACGAGAGGTTATGCGCCGCGGAACTAACGTTCCTACGCGTGTTTCAGCACGGCGCTATTATCTTATGGCTTTCTTGTTACAACACAAGTGTAAATCCAAAGCTGTGTGTCGACGTTGTTTCACGAAGATTGGATCTGCAGCCGCAACACGTCTTAACTTGTTAACGCGCTGAAACAACATCGTCCGAACGTGAACGTAGTTTGGGGCAAAGACCGATGGCAGCAGCATTTAAAGAACCGTCATCATGTAATTCAGATCGGTCCAAAGCAATAACACAAGCTGTAGGAGTTTTTAAAGCTCCGGATCTACGTCCGAATGTTGTTGATGCACCGGCTTTAAGCATAAAGTTCTTGAGCCCCGCTGCCTACGACATCCATCACATCAACACTTCAGCCAAAAAGTTGTAGCAGCACTTTATGAAAAAGCTAAAACTGATATTGTCAACAAGCCCTGGACCAGATTTAAAGCCCTGCCACATCGATGATGACGAGCAAGAGAGAATATTCAACCACCTCATATAATGACCGTGCAAGAAGAGGTATTATTGTATTATTGTGAGCTAATTAACTTTTTAAATTTAAAATTATAATCTTATGAACTCCAATTTTTTTATTTCCGTGTTGTTTGCAGTCTGAGGATGATAGCAGCTGAGTCTTCTTCATCCGCCAGATCACCTCCAGCTAAGAAGTCTGTAATGACTGAACTTGTTTACTTGGCATATTTTCAAAATAAACATTTTATAAGTCTTTATTTTGGGCTTCTTTTTTTTTTTTTTTTTTTTGTACCAAAAATTAACTGAACCGAAATGTGATTTTAGCGTACCGTTACACCTCTAGTGTTATAAAAATGTATACAAGTCGCTTCGAAGTATACGTCTCCGGACTGGCCAAACTATGAAATAAAGAGTGACTTATAGTCTGGAAAATACGGTAATAGCTATTGAATATTTGCATCTGCATGTTACTTTAGACTAAGCTGCCACCATAAATACTGGGAAGGTAATTGTTACCCGAGTGTGCATATTTGTGTATTTGTTGCCGTTGCCAGCTCACTGCAGAGAAAAACATGGGGGAGAACAATTGAGATATTTTCACAGATTATCTGAGTGGTTCGAATTACATGAGGCTTCTTTACGGTGGATTGTAACAATTGTTGTCCAGATATGGGGCTCTGTTCTCCAAATCAACATCTAGATCAGGGCTATTCAACTGGCGGCCCGGGGGCACAATCAGGCCCACGGATGAACTCTGTTCGGCCAACCAATAGGTTCATTTGAAATAAAACTAGATTTTAAACCATAAAAAAACTTACTTAATGATAATAACAGCTGGATGTCTGGCCCCTGAGCTCTTGGCTTTCAGTAATTGTGGCCCCCTGAGTAATTTAGTTAAATAACCCTGAACTAGATTTTTTCAACAGCCAGTGTGGACGACCTTCTGCCTTACAGAAGATGCACTTTGCTGATGTGACTATTGGAGTCAAAGAGTGACTGAAGTTACCAGAAGATGGTTTGTCTTCATGTTTGCCCTCCTCCCTAAACCTGAAAAACACTTTAGCTCACTCGCTTCTTCATCTGATGTTCGCTGCCTTCCAAGTCAGACGGCGACAGTCTTTTAGCGTAAGACTGACATTTCCCTCGGCTCCTCTCTCTGTCTCTCTGACAGGCGGCTCTCACTGGGCCAGATGACTAATCTAATGTAATCACATCAGCATAATTACACTGAGGAGGAGATAATGACAGACAGATGAGACTTTGTGTATGTGTGCGCATCATAAAGTAATAGAGAGATTGTGTGTGTTTGTCTGTGTGCACACGTGATGGACAGGGCTTAGCCACTCTGTCATTAAGGAGCTGTGAAGTCCTGCTCTATCGACTATAATTACCCTCAGAGTGAGAAGCTTTAATATTCTTTGACACTGACAACGGCGCTCTGATAAGCGTCACATCTCTGGCTCCTTTGTCTGCATGTGTGTTTGAGAGTCCCAGTTCAGTTTTTTAAAAATAAGTGACTTTTCAGTGTGACACTTGGGCGTACGAAGGCTTCGAGCTAAGTGTGAGTCATCATGTCCTTGAGAGTAATAAATTTGTACCTTGCTCATTTTGACTTTTACGTCTTAAAGTGAATGAGCACCCGTTTTGATGCACCATGTGTTAATCACCCAAAATATGATGCACGAGTCTGACATAATTAAACTAAATAAACTTATTTTGCAGATAAATTCAATTGCTCTTTAAAATGTTGTCAGACTTGACTGTTGTGATGCATTCTGGGCTTAAAGCCACTCAGTGCAAACTATGAAAACAAATAAAAAGGTTATCCAGAATAATATACCATATAGTGCAGTTTAGATGAGTTTAGTTATTTTCCCAGATATATTAAAATGCTATTTTGAAATGTGGGAATGTACTCAATATAAAAAAAAAAAAAAAAAAAACACTATCTGCTAAAAACTCGAGTTGACCTACATTAGACTGGTTGTAGTCTTTGTACCGTATTTTTTGGCCTATAAGTTGCAGTTTTTTGCCCAATTTACATCCCCTGCGACTTATACACATAAGCGACTTTTTATGTTTTTGTCCCATATTTATAAACCAATTTTTGGCTGAAATATGACCGTTTTCATTCATTCTGATGGAAAATATTGAACACTACCATTTTCAGCCGCTAGATGGCGCTCGAGTACTATGGCATGCCATTGTGTCATGTAATAGGTAAAAGTGGCTATTAATGATGCAAACGGTTTGCCTTCGTCCACCTCGCCTGAAGCAACTGTCTAATCAGCTTCATTTTGCTGCACCGCCCCGGCGAAATGAAGCTGAGAACTGAGACACACCTTTGTTATAATGTCGAACAAACAAATTGTTTTAGGTGCTTATCTTGTTAAATTTTGAAGAAATGCACAGTGAGTCGTCCCTCTGCGAGCTCCTGCGAATCGGGTTTTGAAATGCAGCTGATTTGACCGTCAAAATGCATTTATTAAGCAAAAGTTAGACTGAGACGCACCTTTACTATAAATTCAAGCAAACAAATAATTGTTTTTAAGTATTAATATTGTTAAATTCATGTTAAAGTCCTTGCGCGGCCGCCATTTGGCAGCCAATCAATTTTTGGCACAACACCTGCCCACATTTCTGGGTTTTCAGCGGTGACGCGTAACAAACGCGACGCATCAGCGGTGACGCATAATAGATGCGACGTATATGGCGAAACGACGTATTTGTATTATTTTTCCATTTTATTAGACATATTCAAGGTTTCAAGGTTCTTTATTTGTCATACACACCTCATGTGGTACATGTGGTGGAATTAAATTATGTACACAGGGTCCCAGTTACATCCAACAAAAGTGTTGAAATGTAAAAGAAAAACAGTAATAAGATCTAAGATATGAACCAAGAAAAACGTTAAACTAAAAACACTAATATTTGGACTGATGCGACTTATAAGGCGGTGCGGCGTGCATGGTGGAAAATAGTTCAACAATTATGGCAGAAATAGACAAGCATAGAATTGAGAAGACATATCGGTGTAAATACAAGAACAAATCTGCTAAATGTGAAAAAAATCACCAGGATCGGGTGAAACAGCTGCCAAGAATAAATACTAGGGCTCAACGGTGAATTGAAGAGCGATGAAGACGGAGCTCAGTATTCAAACGTGCTTTTTGTGAAACTTCTTTAGAACGGTTAAGTTTAATGTTTCAACCAAACCTGTGTTTTTACCTGCAGACTTGACTCAACCAATGTGAGCATGAACACACACCAATACATCAAAACCGCTGGACTTCTCTGTTGATGCTCTCCATTGTTGACCATTCAGTCACTTTGGCTGTTTCTATAAGTTAATAAGTGGTACTGAGATAGATAACTTCAAAAATAAGCAACATGCTGACTTCCATTTTGGTGTGTGGCTGCATCAAGGCATAAGCAAGGTCAGTCATGTCAAATTCCAAGATGGCCGCCACCATCATATACAGGCGCATCTAAAAAAAATTAGTTTATCGTGAAAAAGTTTTTTTGTCATTTATTTCAGAAAGTGAAACTTACATAGATTCATCATTACACAAAGAGTGAAATATTTTAAGCCTTTATTTCTTATAATTCTGATGATTATGTCTTAAAAATAATGAAAAAAAAACAAAACAAAATTCAATGTCTCAGTAAATTAGACTGTTGTGAAAATGTTCAATAAGCTCATGGTGTCTCACCCTATTCATCTCCTGGACATGAGCTACAAATGTCTCATCCCTCAAGTCGAGCCACTCCTGAACCAGAGACATCAGAAGCGTCTTACCTGCTGAGGAGACAAAGAACTGGACTCTGTCTCAGTGGTCCAACGTCATATTCTCAGATGAAAGTTAAAGTTCAAGTCATTTAGAAATCAAAGTCCCAGAATCTGGAGGACGAGTGGAGAGACCTGGAATCCACTTTTGGCCACCCCTGGCTCCACTGTTACACCTGACGGAGGATTAAATGGCTCCTTTCGCTCCCCAGGATCTGTCACTCTGCTGCCTGAGACCTCGGAACAAGAAAACAAACCTACCTCTTCTTACACACAGTGTAACTCGCACCCACTTGAATATCTTTCACCAAAAACATTAACGTTTACTTGCATTCTCTGGTTAATTCCAGTCAAGAGAAACACTCGTCTCGAAACTACAAACGTTCACTCTTCAAATCCTTCAGCAACGGGACATCGGCATACCGCTTGTTTTAAGAGCAGTAACTGGAACGCTACTGTATTTAGCAAAATCTTGAAAAAGGGAGAACATTTCTTTTTTTGAAGTAGATTTTTATTGACAATTTTATTAAAATAACAACACACTTAAATACCAAAGTTCATGCTCAATAATCCAGGTTACAAATTCAACAATGTTCAGTCAGGTCATCTAGATGTTTTTTTTTTTTTTGCTGAGACGTTTCGACCTTCATCCAAAGGACTTCTTCAGTCTGAGGAGCCACCAAACAAGCTGATTCCCACAAACGGTATACTATCTTCTTAGTGGAAAAAAACAGTTTGCTGGTGGTAAGATGGCCTCCTCCACCCCCGTCAACTCAGAGCAGCACAGTGGCTCAGTTGGTAGAGCTGTTGCCTCTCAGCGAGAAGGTTGCCAGTTCAAATCTTGGCCTGGAACCTTTCAGGGTGGAGTTTGCATGTTCTCCCCGTGCTGTGTGGGTTTTCTCCGGGTACTCCAGTTTCCTCCCACAGACCAAAAACATGCATGTTAGACTGAGTGGTAACTCTAAATTGTCCCTAGGTGTGAGTGAGAGAGTGAATGGTTGTTTGACTCTTTGTCCTTATGTGTCCCTGTGATGGACTTGCGAACTGTCCAGGGTGTCCCCCGCCTATCATACAGTGACTGCTGGATGTGGGCACCAGTGACTCCCCGCGACCCAAGAAGGAATAAGCGGGTAAAAGATCATCACGGTCAAAGTTTCTTTATTGTCATTCACATCACGTGTACATGTGGTGGAATGAAATTGTGTACACTGGGTCCCAGTTATATCCAACAAAAGTATAAATTGTAAAGAAAAACAGTAATAAGTTCTAAGATATGAACTAAGAAATATGCTAAACTAAGAATACACTAAACACTAATAGTACAAAAGCAATAGATCGAACAACAGCAGCACGAAGATGAGTCTGCATGAGCAGAGGAGTATGAATGAATACAGCAGCATGAAATAAATCAGCAGCATGAGATCAGCAGCATGGATAGTCAGCAGCACATATCAACAATGGAGTGGTATTACAGTGCTTTTTTCATAGTGATTATCCTGGTCAGAGGAAGCTGGTTCTGGTTCGGTGGATTGGACCTGGTGTTGCACCATATTCTGTGACCTGCAACAGTGCATGCAACACCGCCCCCTACAGTCACAATATACTGTGTTCACAGAATATGGTGTAACACCGGTTCACAACTGATATAGAAATTATTATTTTAATGCTTTTATGTCAATCTAGACCTA